GTCATGGGCTGGCACACCCGGAGGAACTTCTATCAGCGCAGCAAGTGCCAAACAGGACAGCAGCCATCGCATGCGTGCACTACTCCCTGTGGGTTGGCATGGTGACCGTGACCCAGTGCTTCGACCAGGGCCCTTCAGAGGCACCGCCCTTTCTCCTTCCAGATGCTTCCGGGAAGATTGTCGTCTCTCAAGGTAGCGAGCTCACGATACCTCACCAAAAGAGAGAACTCTCAAGTTGGACTCACTTCCTCACGGTAAGAAGAGATTGAGAGAGTAGATAAGGTAAGGGAACAACGTACCTGGAGATAGCTGCCCCCAACCACAGATTTCTCACCAATTGAGCTGATGTTGCATTTGATGACCGGTCATGACCTCGGTACCACCCACAATGCAATGCAGTGCCACCTTAGTCCAATGTCACATCAGCATGCTCTCATCATCAATCAAACATTCCGCTGTATCCCACGGCATGCATTGCTGAAATAGCCTTCCGGTGCACCCCTCTCTACCCAGGGCGTGCACCTATAGCAGCCTGACGTCACAAGTACCCACTGCGAAGAAGCATCGTCAACGCACCAAGTCTGTATAACGCCAGCGTGCCAAAGGTAAGTGGCGATCAAACCAGCTCCGATACCAAATTGCAAGGAACATGAATATGGACGAAGTACAGAAATCCAGAATGCAAAATCACACTGAAGTCCAAGTAGTCAAAGCCAAAGCAGATAGCACATGGAACCGAGTAACCATCCAATTGAGAATGATACAGAAGAATCGTGAGTCAATGTCCATGCCCAACAGGGCAACATCAACAGCATAACCCAAATGTAGCTCTCTCTTGTGAATGGCGCCAGGCGCCCTATCTACTCTACAGCCTATCCTACAACTACAGCAATGAAAAGCAACCAGACAACTTGACTACCAGCGAGTGATGATGTCAACACCAATTCCGACCTCCACCTCCTCCAGGTACGTGTCCTCTTCCCCACATTCTCCCTTGTTACCCACACAGCGCCCTTCACCTCCGAAGTACCACCTTCGCCCTTCACCCTTCTGCGCCCTCAGCAGCCGGCTATGGCCGCCAAGCGCCCTGTATGCAGGCAGCGCCCTACCGCCTAGCGATAGCCTGCGTCCCTCAGCCTTAGCGCCGCGCAGCATGCATGCAACGCAGCAGCGTGCCGGCCTTGCTCGCAATGGCCAAGATGCCTGCCCACTCGCCCTGCTTGCCTATATGCCAGTGCAGTGTGTGGGCGGCCTCCCTTCAGCCTCTGACCGGGACCCAGAGGCTGAACTCCGCCTGATACAGTTGGGCCCCGGGGCAAAGCAGTTGCGCCTCCTTCATCAAGGCCTGCGGCCAGATTCAGACAGTGGGCCGATTTCCCTTTGGCATTTTCGGCCTCTATACCCAGCGTGCATTGTCGGCCTCACATTCGAGTGCCCAGGGCCTAACTAACTCAGAGGCCCTGGGCATTTCAGCATTTGCTGAAATCCGAGACTCGGTGCACTCMAACCAACTGGCGTGCTGCAACTGTATGGACCCCACTTCGTGAAATGTTGGCAAAGAGGGCTCTTGTTGATTTGCTGGCCCGCCTTCACTTAGGGCGGGCTCGAGGCTTCCTGGGGCCTTAGCCCAGAACATGTACATCATGGCAAGGCCCCTACTTGAGGGCTCAATCCTCACAGTGTTTCTGAAATTGATGAAAAACAGTTCTGTATTGCACACTTTTCACTAATTTGTCTGCTTTTTTTTGCTCTTTTTTTTTTTTTTTTTTCCCAGTAGTTTGTCCTCTTGCCATATTTGTGCCGACGAAAGCGTGCAAAGGAGGGGGGCGGGGGGGGGGAAGGGAGAGATAGGTAGGTCTGCTCCGGATTGCCCGCCCGGGAAGGGCAAATTCATGTACAAGGTTGATTTTTTGACCGAATTTGGCTGTCATCACAGTCAGATGCATCCAGGAAAAGACTAGTTTGCAAGCAAGCATGCCCCTTTGTGAACAGAAGCTGAGGCCACCCAGTCTGGCCCAAAACTGATGGCATCAGGCTGTTCATAGCTGCTTTTTTTCCCCCTCTTTTCTCTTGCTTTTTGTCTTTTTTTAATTTTATTTTAAATAATCAGTCTCAGTTGTTTTCAGAGCAACCCCTTGTGTTTACCTTTTTTTTTTTCCTTCTTTTTTTCTTTTTAATGAAAAAAGAAGACAACTTGAAGTTCCCCGGCTGATGTGTGTTTGCTCTGCTTGTCATGCCAAACAAACAAGTTGCTTGTTACCTTTTTTTCCCCCTTTCTTTCTTTCTTTCTTTCTTTCTTTCTTTTTTTTATTTTTTATTTTTTTCTAATAAAGGCCGACGGCCAATGATGTATTATCCTTGAACTGAGCAGCGCCAGGTAATTAATTCAGCAGTCTGATTCCTCTGGTTCCATCCGGATTCGAACTTGGTTCCAATCCGGATCCGAACCTTGGTTCCAACCCAGATTCGAACTTGGTTCCAATCTGGATTCGAACTCAGGTCTGCATTTCAACAGTTCTTGGGTGTACCATGGTCCCTTTCTCTAGTCCCTTCTTGTTTCTGATAAAAGTCCTGTCTCTTTGTACAGTCTGACATCCTGACATGCTGACAGCCAGACAATCTTACGGTCTGATAATAATCTCTGCTGATTATTTGCTTTTGGAACCGTTTACACTGTTTGCAACTTTGCAGGGTCCAGCTTGTCATGATGCAATCAGTGCGAGATTGGTGGAGAGGGCAGGATTTGATGTCGCCTTCATGAGTGGCACGTACATACTACACTGCTACCATGACCACATACACGAAGATCTCACCCCCTGGACAACTCGCAATCCTCTGCCTCCACTCCTCCCTCTTCCCCCCCCTTCCCCCCCCTTCCCCCCCTGGCCCCTGCTCCCCTTCCTGTCTGATAGTT